TTTTTTTTTTTTTTTGGTACCAGGATCAAACTCAGAAACTTGCACTTGTCAAGCAAGTGCTTATGCCACTGAGCTATATCTCCAGCCCTAATTTCCTCTGTGCCCACTGATTATTCAAGAGTATATTATTTAATTTCTAGCTGCTTGCAGAATTTCTGTGGTTTCTTTTGTCATTGGTTTCTGGTTTCATTGTGTTATGATCTGTGGATAATTTTGATTCTTCTGCATTAATAATCCATGCTTTATTGATTAATATTTGGTACAAGAGTACCTGGGTTCATGAACTTAATTTGTTCCATGATTCTGGAAAAGATGACCTTGCTTGTGCTCATGCAGGAAAGATGGCCATGGTCCTGTTCATCACCCACTGCAGAGTTCACAAGCACAAACAAAATTTTGCCACTTTCCCATTTGCAAATCAAATTGTTCATAAATAAAAATGCTCATGAACTGAGGTGCTGCTATAATATTTGTTTTAGGAAGTTGAGCAAATATGTCTGCAATTGTTATCTCTTCCTGTTGAATTGTTCCCTTACTTAGTAGATATAATAAGTCCCTGACTTCCAAACTTTGAGTTGTGAACTTTCACAGATACAAAGAGTCATGTATTATAAACATTTGTATTGTGAAATTAGCTCATATATCTACCTTACCATTTTAAGGTAACTGTAAAAGTAAAAAGACTTTTTATAGTATTTATGTGTGTGTGTATTTTATGATTAATGTTGTATATTGTGTCAAAGACTTATAAGATTCACTTTGTTGGACTTATGAACAAATCCAACTTACAAACAGTCTCCTGGAATGGAATTCATTTGTAAGTTGGGGACATACTATAATGACCTTCTTAGTCTCTTTTGATCAGTTTTGACTTGAAGTCCACTTTGTCTGAAAATGGAATAGTTATCCCTATTTCCTTTCAGATTCCCGTTATATACAATATTGTTTTCTATCCTTTGATTTTTTTAGTCTATGAATTTCTTTTTGGATTAAATGAATAAGCATCCTGTTGGATCTTGCTTCTTGTCCTTTTTTCCAGTCTGTTTTCTGATTGGGAAATCAAAACCATTAACATTGAGAGTTTTTATTAAAAGGCACTGACTTATTCCTGTCATTATATTACTTTCCTGTTGCTGATTTCCTTTTTTCTTTCTATTGTGCTTAACTGCTTACTCTGCCTGATATATTCATTAGCATTGTTAGCTTCATTTTCTCTTTCTAGAATATCCCTGAGAGTTTTGTTTTTGGAGTGCTGGCTTGGTGGCCATGAATTTCTAAAGACGTTCTTTGTCATAGAAAGGCTACTTCTCCATCAGTTTTGAAAGACAGTTTTGCAGCATATAAGTCTCACTTGGAAGTCATTTTCTTCTCAGGGCTTAAACCCCTTACTCTGAGATCTCTTGGCCTTCAGAAGATCTTTTTACTAAGTCTGCTGCGATTCTAATGGGTTTGCCTTTTCAAGTGATTCATTGCTTTTCTCTAACAGCTTTTAAGACTCTGTGCTTGTATTAAACCTTTGGTATTTTGACTATGATACGTTGTGCCAAATTCTTTTCTCACTGTAACTATTTGAGGTTTCATATGCCTCATTTACTATACGTTAATTTTTTCTTCATATTTGGGAAGTTTTCTGCTATTATTTCAGTAAACAGGTTTTTATGCCATTTGTACTATCATATGATTTTTCAGTAATTCCCATTGATCTTAGTCTTTTTTGCATCATCCAACAACTGTTGGATCCATTTTTCACATTCTCTTGTTTTTAAGGTAACTCTGGGTGACTGATCACCAGTATAAGCCATATCTGCTATTTCTGATACTCTATCCCCACACTGGTCACTTTTGTTGGCTATACTTTCCATAGAATTTTTAATCTCCTACATTTCTGTTTGGCATCTTTTCATGGTCTGTAATTGTTTGCTAACCTTGTTCATGTTTTGTATCATTCTTCTTAGCTTAGCTTGCTTGTGTCTTTCTGTAAACTTGCTGATCACCTTTGTTTACTTAGTCCATTTTCTGTTTACCTATATCTTCTTTGAGCTCAATGAGCACCTTATTGATGTGTTTTTAATATCTTCTTTTATCATTTTGAATAATTCAGCTGTGTGGTTTTTTTATTTCCTCCCCCATGATGTCACATGGATCAGCTTTAGGGGGTTGAAAGTTTTGGGAGATATTTAGTAGCCTTGTCTCCTTATGTTTTCTCTCTCTCTCTCTCTCTCTCTCTCTCTCTCTCTCTCTCTCTTTCTTTGTGTGTGTGTCTCTCTATCTCTATGTCTCTCTCTGTCTCTGTCTCTCTGTCTGTCTCTCTGTCTCTCTCTGTCCCTCTCTCTGTCTCTCTCTGTCTCTCTCTCCCTGTCTCTCTGTCTCTCTCTGTCTCTTTGTCTCTGTCTCTCTCTCTGTCTCTGTCTCTCTGTCTCTTTGTCTCTCTCTGCCTCTCTCTGCCTCTCTGTCTGTCTGTCTCTGTCT